TGTGCAATAGAATAACATATACAATAAAATAACGGTGATTTAAAATTGTCAGACTTTACTTTATCATTCACTGATTTGCTTGAGGACATAGATGATTTGTCTTTGACCTCAACGTTTATAACAAACCTAACAGTCAGTAATATGTATTTAGTGGTTTTAATTACTCAGACGAGGTGGGGGCGGGGCCTAAGTAGAATGCACTTAAGAAATGCAAGTATGCGATCATGACTAATTAGAATGACCTATGATTACACCATTTATAATGTGAAAAAAGAATTCATTAATATGTTAAATAGAAAGGTCATTACCAAATAAAGCTTCATGATATTTTTTATGTATCACTCTATAAATGTCTTCTTTAAACTATCATGATCATAATTATGAAACATCAATAACGAAGGTTTAGGTGCAATATTTATAATGTAATCCATTTAATATACTGATACCTTACAAAACATCTACAGTTGTAGTCAGGTGTCTGAAATAAAGCATGTAGAGGCACCTAAGGCCTTCCGCCCCTTATGGTGGTAGGGTTGCTTTTATGGGTTGAGGCATCAGAATTGCTGCCACCAAAATGGGTTTGAATTACAGGAGTCTATGCATATCTTAGATTCAGCAGGTGAGGTGATTTTGACCATTGAACCATTGCTTTATAATAATTTTGTAACACCTGAGGTTAGCCAAATTCACCTTTCCTGTTTCAGCTCCATATGACCAAGCTTACCAGTATTTGTGCAGTGTAAAACCAAACAAAACAAACAAATCCACCAGTAAAGCTGAAACGTCTTCTTACAACCTAATTACAGTGTTTTTGCAACTAAAAAAAAAAAAAAAATAATAATAATAATAAAAAAATAAAGATTATGTTAAAAGAACCTGAGTAGTAATAATTATGATAAATGTACATTTGTGCTTCAACTAGGGTTTCCAAGCAGTAATCACAAGTTCTGAGTATTCCAAGTTCTAAGTAAGTTTTCACTACCAGACTGGCAATATAGCGTTGATAAATGATTTGAATTTGAAACAGTCCATTCAAAGTTCAAGGGATTTCAATGTAAAAATACAAAAATTGAGCTGTCAACAGTATAGGACCTGGTCAGAATGCTTGGATATGCAGGCTGGACTGGCCCTATACAGGTGGCATAAGAGGCTGATCAGTTTTGACACCATCATGAAAAGGGTTAACAATTGACTTAAACAAGGCATACATCCATTTATCAAGTGCAGCATTATAAGGATAAATGATGTGTTTTATGTGTTTTCAAGTGATCTTTCAATGTTTCATGCACTTTAAAAAAATAAAAAACAATGACAATTTACTTCTTATCGTTTTGTGACACTTTCGTAACCTTGGAAAAGAATGAAATCCGGTTTCCTGAGATAGGACAGGATCTAAATATTTTACCCAACCTTTTTTTATAGCATTTAAGGTATGTGGAAGAATGTGTCGATTGATTAACCAAACCTGGGGGCTAACTAGATTTTTGAAAAAAAATAGGAGGCAGCAAATTTTGATGCTGGAAACCAGCTAGTTTTAATAAATTTGAAGCTGGGAGCCAGTTAGGTTTAATAAATGAATTGAAGCTGGGAGGCGATCAGTTTGGAAGTTTATGAAGCTGGGAGCCAGTCAGTTTGAGAATAAAGTTGCAAATATAATACCATGATGGTGGTGAGATCAAATCATGGAAAATTAGCATAAAGATAAATAAACCTTTTATATAATCTAAGATTTGCATAAAAACTTGTCAAGATACTGTCAGATTGAAAGGAAATATATCACTAAAAAAATGAGAGATACTTGTAATTGAAAGCTACTTATGTCAAAAAAATTTGCATTTTCTAATCTGCCATTTAAGTGAATTTTTGTGAATAAGAAATGAATAATAGATAAAAAGGTATACTTTAGAATAATGCCTTCTATTTAAGGTTATAGGCCATAGTTAAGATATCTGATGATCTAAGATTTGTTTGTACCCTTTTAAATGAAATAATATCAAAATTTTACTTTTTTACATTAAAATAAAAAATGAAAATTCTTTTGAAGCTATAGATATTGGAAAATTAATTGAAATCAGAATTTTTTTTAAATTCAAGGGTTTTTAAGGGAATCCAGTGTAATTGTGTCATTGCTGCATAATTGTTTTTTTTTTGTGTTAATATTTGCAAGCATCGAAAATAACTTGCAGATTTAAACTTGTAAATATGACTCATTATTGGATTGTGAACTGCTACTAAATATATATAGCAATTTTCTTATGCTCCCTGAAGGGTGAGCATATAGTTGCCACTTTGTCTGTCCATCTGTCCGTCCGTCAAGTACTTGAGCATTTATAATTGGTTTTCCAGTTGAATGATTTTTATCCCCCGCCGATGGAATCGGGAGGGGGATATAGTTTTGGCGTTGTCCGTCCGTCCGTCCATCCGTCCGTCCGAATTTCGTTTCCGGAGTAGTTCTCTGCAACTACTGGCTGGAATTCAACGAAACTTTATGGGAATCATCAATATCAAGAGGAGATGGGCATATCGTCGGCTTGTTCCGGTCCGACCCTTTAACTCAGAGTTATGGCCCTTGATTAGTTATGTAGTATGCATATAGAGTAAAAATCGTTTCCGGAGTAGTTCTCTGCAACTACTGGCTGGAATTCAACGAAACTTTATGGGAATCATCAATATCAAGAGGAGATGCGCATATCGTCGGCTTGTTCCGGTCAGACACTTTAACTCAGAGTTATGGCCCTTGATTAGTTATGCAGTATGCATATGGAGTAAAAATCGTTTCCGCGCTACTTCTCTGCAACTACTGGCTGGAATTCAACGAAACTTTATGGGAACCTTCAATACCAAGAGGAGATGCGCATATCGTCGGCTTGTTCGGGTCAGACACTTTAACTCAGAGTTATGGCCCTTGATTAGTTATGCAATATGCATATGGAGTAAAAATCGTTTCCGGAGTAGTTCTCTGCAACTACTGGCTGGAATTCAACGAAACTTTATGGGAATCATCAATATCAAGAGGAGATGCGCATATCGTCAGCTTGTTCCGGTCAGACCCTTTTACTCAGAGTTATGGCCCTTGATTAGTTATGTAGTATGCATATAGAGTAAAAATCGTTTCCGCACTACTTCTCTGCAACTACTGGCTGGAATTCAACGAAACTTTATGGGAACCTTCAATACCAAGAGGAGATGCGCATATCGTCGGCTTGTTCCGGTCAGACACTTTAACTCAGAGTTATGGCCCTTGATTAGTTATGCAGTATCCATATAGAAAAATATTTGTTTCCTCGCTACTTCTCTGCTACTACTGGCTGGAATTCAATGAAACTTTATGGGATACTAAGAGGAGATGTGCATATAGTCGCCTTGTTCCAGTCAGATACTTATAACTCAGATTTATGGCCCTTGATTAGTTATGTAGTATGCATACATCTCATTGGCATTTCCAGATTTTACTATTTAACACAAAGTTATGGCTCTGTTATTGCCCTGAATATTTATCAAGTTCAAAGAATATTACTGTTTATGCCATGATTAATATATAAATAAAGCCTTATGTCTTCAGTTGTTGTGTTAATAATAACCAGTACTGTCGGCGGGGGATATAAATTCAACGAATTTGCTTGTTGACTGAGTTATGGCCCTTGAATTAGAAAAAAGCATTTTGGCCAGTTTAAATTATTATCCTATCTCAGCTCCAACAATTGCTACAAATTTAAGTAGCCACAACAAATAGGGAACAAATTGTCTAATCACCCCTCAATGAAATTACTTTGGCTATGATTCATCAGGGGATATACATATGATCACTGATCGCTCTTAAAATATTTTAGAAATTCGTTATGAATGTTATTATAAGCTGGTACAAATTGATGGGAAAAAAATAGAAATTCAGGCCTGACATTGTAAATTTCATATAAATCCGGGAATGAAAATAAACCTTAAGTGCATGTTTAAATTTTTTTTATCGTTAACTTTAAACTGCCAAAATAATGCTCTAACATTATGGTGGCTGTTGAAAATAAGAAAAATGTTTGTACAAGGTTTTCAATACAATAAAGGGAACATCACAGTGTAACTACTTGTTTTATGTTGTAAATATTGTTCAGTAGCATGTGATAAAGTTAAATCAAGTGTTTGTTTTACAGTTAATTGTCGCACAAAGACTCGTACCTTGTCAAATAAGCTCTCTTCAATGGTTGTTAATCTCCAAGAATGTCAAACACTGTGTTAACAACATAGATATTCTAAAAGCCTTACGCCACTAAATTTTTGTAACGGTAATTTATATAATGCCCCCAACTCTCCATTGCTATTTTAGATGTCATAATATCAAAAAAATTAGAATGACTTAAAGTATAAAGTCTGGTTTAGACGGCAGGGACTTGCAGAATGGCCTGGTATAGACAAGATATTTCAATATATTACAAGTTGCAGTTGCTTCAACCATAATGCACTGCTTGAAATTTAAAAAGTATCTTTGAGTTCAATCTGCATCACTCTCAAAAGTCCCCATCTGGTCTACCCCACCCATACACTGTACCTCCAAAGCAAAGATTTGTAATAACAAAAATAACAATTTTTTTTATGTATAAATGATCATGCATTAAAAATGACAATTTTTTCTTTTGGGCAGCTCATTTAGCTTATTTAGGGGGAGAGTGTCGGATTTGTAAACTTGGGGTTGTTTGTTCGATCCTTTGGTGAGACGAAATTTCTTATTGACTCAGACATTGAGTATAAAGCTCACCTGTCTGTTGTTGATGATTCAGAAATTATATGGGATTTGTAGTTTATAATCACTTGCAGAATAATCGGTCATTACTAGTAAGTTATCCACAAAGCCCGGTTAGATACTTAGTAAACCGACTACCGCCGGTTGCATAAACTGACTGCCGAGATATTACCAAAAATGTGTTAAAATCGGCATGAAAACCATAGACAAGTGTGATGTGTAAGTGTTGAAGGGATCTTGGCTAATTTTAAAAAACTAATGATATTCTGAATATTTATTTGCAGGTCAATTCCACACATGTCCTCTGAGGTGGACGTTCAAGTGATGAACAGGGGCCTACTTTCAGACGAGTTTATTGGATATGCATCAATCCCTTTAAAACAGTATGACGTCTATGAAAGGCCGAAAAGCCAGTAAGTGTCACATAAATAGTTTATATATTGATTCATTTAAACAATAATATCTGCGGTTATTATGAGTCAAATTGATTTGAGACATATTGATTTGTCCTAAAATGTCTGGTTTTTTTCCGTAAATTTTTTTTTTGTTCAGTTGCATCGTTATTCATTTTCTGCCATATGTTGTTATGTTTATCTTGGCAGCAGACAGCAAGAAATATGACTGGAGGAGTGATTATAAGTAATCCTTCTCCAAGCATCAATCATTGCTTGAAAGAATCAACTAATCAACCCATCAGAGAAGCCATTATAGTCAAATTATTATCCAGATTATAAAAGAATTTACCATGAAAGACCTGAACTTAAAGACATGATATGATAATATTTCAGTTGGGTTCAACTAGGTCAAAAGCCCAGTAAGCTTCCTGATGGCCTTGGGGGGGAGAGCCGAGGACGGTGACTTCCATTCGAAGTAAAAAAGATGACTCACCTCCCAAGGGGAAATCTCCCAAAAGTAAAAGAAAGGGTCTATAAAACTCTTTGTTCCGGTTTGGGTTTAAATTCCGTAGAAAAAACCCGGTTTGGTTAAAATCCCTTTTTCAATTTTTAATTTTTTCCCTTTACAAGTATAAAAAAGTGGGCCCCCTTTTTTGTAATTAAAAACCAGTTTTAATACCTTTGCCCCTTATTACTTTCGGGGTTTTTTAAACATTTTCTAGGCCCGAGAGCCCTTTTTTAGATTTTTCCCCTGGGAGTTAAACTTTTTCAGCAAGGGTTTAAAGGTTGTACTCAGTTGGGCCCGGTTTCCCGTCTAAAGTAAATACATAAAAATGCATTTTAGGTTTGCCTTTTGCCCGTAAAAATGGAATTTTCCCCTGTACAAATAGCTTTTGGTATGAAATAAAACCCAGTCCCTCCAAAAAAAAAAAAAAAAAAAAAAAAACAGAATTAAGATCTGTTCATTGCTAAATTACATGAAATGTAGTCAAGTTGCTGACAGTAAAGAGTTTGGTGATATATGCCAGTCAATAATTCCTGCACTAGAGAGTTAATTGAGATACTTTTAGTAAGTTTTGACCTTGGCCAACAAATAGAGTTAAAAGTATGGGAAAGGAGTTCTCAAACTGTTTTTTGTTCTAATTTATTTAACAAGCATAAAAAATAACACATAAAAATCACAAAAAACAACACCATGATACTGTTTATGACAGTTCTCTTAATTTGCTGTAATTTTCTGAAGTATTTGACTTAAAATCTCATATACATATACTTTGTATGTTAAATTAATTAAGTTCAAACAATATGTTTAGATTACAAAGAATCAAATGTATTTTGGTAACTTCAGTAATGTCCCCATATTCATATCATACACACAGAAAAAAACCCATAATAAATGTATCTTAAGATTTTAAATAAAAATGCAAGATGAAAAAAAGTACTTTTATCTTAAATGGGAAAAATCACTTAAAGGATGGGCAATCAATGCCTAATGATTGAAATGTCTGTCAAGGTTTAGTGATAAGATTGCCTTAAGAGAGATAGATTTTCTTCACTTAATCATTTCATTCTTTGCTATAAGCTACATACTTAAGATTTCATTTTCATAATTTTCTTTGCTCTAAGCTACCACTTAAGTTATTTTTTTTGTATTTTTCTTTGCTGTAAGGGACCGCTTTAGATATCTTCTTTATGTAATGATTATAAAAGGTGAATTTGCATAATTTTGGATCGGGTAATTGATTATATTAGCAAATCTGACCTTTTTATGCAAAAGAATATTGATTTCAATGTCAAAGTCACCTTGATAAGGTCAAAGGGGTCATTACTGTAGGGGTTTTGATATTGCTATATTTTGTTAACTAAGTATCCAAAGTATTTGTAAGTATTTTTATGGGTTGACCATGCATACTTGAAATGTACACTTTACTGATTATCATATAATGTATTATATTTCCTAAACATTTTATATACACATCTTATTTATTCTATTGCCAATGGAGAATATCTCAAAACGTTTTATTTCTTACTTCGTGGAATTGATATTATAATGCAGCTGAGATGGTGTATGAATTTTGTATTACCCTTTTATACACATGCATTTCAACTGATTGCAAATCACTCACATCCCTGATGTGGATTCTGTAGTCTCATCAGGGACTTCTGATTCTTTCATGTGAGGAAGCTTATAATATTGCTTGGGGAGGTCAGAGGTTCTTCTTGTGCCTGAAAAGCACATCAAGGCCGTCAAATCATGGTGTGCACTGTTAGCTATTTTAAGTCAAAACATATTTTTTTAAATGTTCCCCCTAAAAATGATGAACGGTTTTATCCAGGTTAAAAGATGGACAAATCCATTTAAGATAAATAGAATGGTAAAGGGTTAAATTAGTTAAATTACTGTGTGTGCAATCATACTAAACATTAGATATATGATTCACAATCGTTAAAATACAGTAATGATTTCTAAATGTGTCAGTATTTCACAGCTGTTTTGTGTTTTCATTTTGAAATCACTCTAGAAACCATCAATAATAAATAACTATCTATTGCACAAAATTTATCAACCTCCATTGTTTCAAGGAGTTAAAACACTCTTTATCAAGGAGTTTGCTGTTTATTTCCTAAATCACATTTTAATCTTCCTTTTTCTTATACTAAAACAGTAACCTACTTGATAGAGAGATAAATTTTGTGGGATAGATAATTACATAAAAACAGTAATAAACAAATCTTATTACATGGTTTATAGAAATATATCAGTATATAAAACTGGTAATTTCACTTTTTTAAGCCCCTTACGTTGTTTCAATGAAATACCAGCGTGCACAGTACTGGGTACCAACTTAATGACGTGACATCGTAAATGACGTCACGTTGTATTATTATTTGGCGCGCTTTTCATTCAGTATTAGATTTAATGTCTCTTTAAAACATTTATTTGCATGTAATAAAAAGAAAATTTGTTTAGTTTAGTGTAAGATCGAAATATAATTCACCTTGTGAACACCAAAAGTTCATATTTCACTCGTGGCTGCGCCACTCGTGAAATATACCTTTTGGTGCTCACTGGGTGAAATATATTCTGATCTTACACTGAACTAAACAAATATCCTCTATATTTCCAACATGAAGTGACTTAAAGCTTTTCTCAACTCTATACATTGTAAACAGGCATGTAATGGATTATAGAGTAATTGAGTGAAAAGATTAAGCAATATTGGAGTAAAGATTTATTTGCTGGGTTATTGTAACCCGTCCTCTATTACATAAAAGTTTTGATTAAGCCTGGAGATATTTACATACTAGTATATGCTTACTTCTTGCAATAAGATTATTTCAGAATTTGATCCTTACACTATGCTAAGTATCTTAAATGGACCTGTCCTTCTTTCAATTTGAACAAAACCATTCATCATTTCAAGGGAAAAAGCACCAATATTTTCAGATTTATCTCCCCTTGAACTTAGAATTTTCCTCAAAAAATGCTATTTCTTACTGTTTCTTCTTTATTTCTTAAGGGATCAACCTCATACTTCAAATATATTTACGTTATCATCATCCCCAACTTATGTGACAAGGTTCATAACTCTAGCACCAATATTTTCAGATTTATCTCCCTTTGAACTTAGAATTTTCCATAAAAAATATTATTTTTTACTGTTACTTATTTATTTCTAAAGGGATCAACTTCATGCATACTTCAAATATATTTACGTTATCATCATCCACATCTTATGTGACAAGGTTCATAACTCAAGCACCAATATTGCAAGAATTATTTCCCCATTAAATTAGATTTTTTTACTAGAAAAATGTTATTTTTTATTATAACTTTTTTATTTTTAAAGGTATATACCTCAAACTTCAAATACTTATTCCTTATCATCAATTACATTTTATGTGACAATGTTCATAACTCTTGAAGCAATATTTACAGATTTATCTCTCTTTGAACTTAGGATTTTCTTTAAGAAATATAATAACTTCTTTACTTTTTAAGGTATCTACTTCAAACTTCAAATATATATTTCTTATCATTACACAAATGTTGTGTGACAAGGTCCATAACTCTAGCATGACTATTTCTAGAATTATTCCCCTTGATCTTGGAATTTATGTTAACAAATGTTATTTTTTTACTTTAACTTAATACATAATTATACATAATTGATTTTTCTTTCATAGTTTTGTCCTCCTTACTGCGTCCAGTATTTTATTAGTCGAGCTTCGCTGTCTCCTGTGACAGCTCTTGTTTTGGCATATTCTAAATTGTTTGATTGTAATTCATCAATATGAAAACTTGTTTCAAATAAATACATGTATTGAAATTTTGAAATTTTGCTTACTCACAGAAACTAAATACGATATATTTCTCAGCAGAGTTAAAACTTAAGCCTGGAGGGAATGGACCAGCTAATATAGAGATGCAATTGTACTCCAGAACTCGGAAAATGTGGGCTTTTCACGTCCAATCCTTGAATACAAACAAAATTTCACCATTATTGTTTCCCTGAGATTATAATATTATATAGAAAAATCACAATTTGCTGAGTTTTGAGTAACATATATTGTAACCCTTACTCCAACCCAGAAAAAATGGGGAAAAAAAACTTTGGTCATCCAAATTGAGACCAGTACAGCCTTAGTTAAGAGTTTTGTTAGATTGGTAAAATCTCTGCAAAATCAGCCCTTAATAAATAACAGTGAAATATTGAGATATCTTTAACTATGGTTAATAAAGCACTTACATATTATTATAGTCTATGGTGTTAAAAAATTGATATAATATTGGATTTTCTTATCATATTTTTGGTTATATATGTTTTAGGTGACAAGTTTTCTAGAAGGCTTTCATTGCGTGGTTCTCGAGAATTCTCTACCCCACAGCCACACAAGCCATTCAAGGTAAGTTGTCATGACAATGGTGGAGGTCAAAGGTTGCATGGTTGCTATGGTTACATGTACATCTGAGCATTATAGCATGATAAATTATAGATGGAAATATTATATATAGAATAACCAGTATGAAACAGATTGGAGCATGTTTATTTCTTACATGATATGATTGAAAATACATAAAATATCGGGCATTATCAACAAACATTTATCAAAACAGTTGCTATGGTAACCATAAAATTTGTATCAGAAAATTTTGCTTAAAGTGTAATTACTAATATTCTTGTGCTTTTACACTAATTGGATTTATTTCTATAATTGAGTAGTGGTAGTGAGTTTGATGCAATATGGTTGTATTTGTTGTTTATATCATACAAGTTACAGTCTTTTTGCACCAAGTGTCACTAATATAGTTTCCACTAATGTCACTATTTTGTATTTCACACCATCTCAAGATTTAGATATATCAAAGATAATGATGTTCTATTATTTCATTTTCATCACCCATATGTTATGCTCTGTAGATGAATATGATTTATTTTGATTATGATTTATGTAGGGGATCTTTTTTAATCAGTAATAGCTGGAAAGGCACCTTAATTTTTTTACCTTGGCACCGTATAGTTATATGACCTTGCCACTATATGATTATGTTATCTTGGCATCATATGGTTATTGTGTCGCCTTGAAAAGGTGACATATAGGGGTTACTTTCGTCGGCGGTGTCGGCGGCATCTGTGTCGTTGTCGGCGTCGTTGTCGGCGTCCCCTAAAGCTTGTCCGGAGCATAACTCAGTCACTATAAGTCTGATTGACTTCAAACTTGGTATGCATGCTTCTTTCAATAACCCGAAGTGCAGTGCACAAGGACCGGTACTCTGCAGTTCTTATTTTTTGAGTTATTGCCCTTTGTTAATTTTCATACACTAATTTTATCCGGGCCATTTCTCTTCAACTAAAAAAGCTATGGACTTGAAACTTCATAGGATGATAGATCTCATTTAGAAGAAATGCAGCGCACAAGAACCAGTACTCTGCACTTCCTATTTTTTGAGTTATTGCCCTTTGTTAATTTTCATACTTTATTTTTGTCCGGGCCATTTCTCCTAATGTATAAAAGCCATGGACTTCAAACTTCATAGGATGATAGGTCTCATTAAGAAGAAGTGCAGTGCACAAGAACTGGTACTCTGCATTTCTTATTTTTTGAGTTATTGCCCTTTGTTTATTTTCATACTTTAATTTTGTCCGGGCCATTTCTCCTTAAGTATAAAAGCTATGGACTTGCAACTTCATAGGATGATAGATCTCATTATTTAGAAGTGCAGTGCACAAGACTCGGTACTCTTCATTTCTTAATTTTTGAGTTATTGCCCTTTGTTAATTTTCATACTTAATTTTTGTCCAGGCCATTTCTCCGAAAGTATAAAAGTTATGGACTTGAAACTTCATAGGATGATAGATCTCATTAAAAAGAAGTGCAGTGCATAAGAACTGATACTCTGCATTTCTTATTTTTGAGTTATTGCCCTTTGTTGATTTTCTTACTTTATTTTTGTCCTGGTCATTTCTCCTCAAGTATGAAAGCTATGGACTTGAAACATCATAGAATAATAGAATAGTGTTATTGATAAGAAGTGCAGTGTACAGAAACTGCTGCTCTGCACTTATTATTTTTTTAGTTATTGCCCTTTGTTAATTTTTATATTTCATTTTTGTCCTGGCCATTTCCCCTAAACTACATTGTTCACAAGGCGACACATCCGACTCGCGGAGTTCTAGTATAGTCTTGGAACCTTATGGTTATATGACCTTACCACCATATGGTTAAAATGATCTTGCCACCATATGGTCATATATAACCTAAGTGCCTTAATAAATTTAAATTAATAATTAAATTAAATAATATTGGTGCAATAATGTAATAAGTGCTTCTAAATTTAATAGCAGTTATTCAGTTATAGCACTAAGGTGGAATTATACCTTTGCTACTAGATTTAATTTTTGAAAGTTGTCTGATTAAATGGGTCCTTCTATAAATTTTGTAAAGTCTATAACTCATTTTACATTTTAACACATATTTCATTACTTTGGTGGCAGACATTAGTACACACCTTTCATAATCTCTGTATAAAAAACTTAAAAATTCAGTTTTGCAGCATTAACTAACAAAAAAACTTTGTGATTTGTGTTACTTGCACCATTTTGCTTTACTTAAAATATATATCCCTATTTCTGATTGTTAAAATTGACTTGTCCAGTTTTGAAATTTTGTAACTGCTCAATTTTGATTCAAAACTGTTTAGCTGAAGGTTCCTTAAATATGAAATTTGGCAATTCAAGCACTTAGCCTGTTGGTGGCAATTGTTGACAACCCTGCGATCGCCTGTTGGTGGCAATTGTTGACAACCCTGCGATCGCCTGTTGGTGGCAATTGTTGACAACCCTGCGATCGCCTGTTGATGGCAATTGTTGACAACCCTGCGATCGCCTGTTTTGTGGCAATTTACACCCCTGCGATTGCCTGTTGGTGGCAATTGTTTACACCCCTGCGATTGCCTGTTGGTGGCAATTGTTTACACCCTGCGATTGCCTGTTGGTGGCAATTGTTTACACCCCTGTGATTGCCTGTTTGGTGGCAATTGTTTACACCCCTGCGATTGCCTGTTGGTGGCAATTGTTTACACCCCTGTGATTGCCTGTTGGTGGCAATTGTTTACACCCCTGCGATTGCCTGTTGGTGGCAATTGTTTACACCCCTGTGATTGCCTGTTGGTGGCAATTGTTTACACCCCTGTGATTGCCTGTTGGTGGCAATTGTTTACACCCCTGCGATTGCCTGTTGGTGGCAATTTACACCCCTGCGATTGCCTGTTGGTGGCAATTTACACCCCTGCGATTGCCTGTTGGTGGCAATTGTTTACACCCCTGTGATCAGTGCCGACCAAGATCAGCCGGCACATCATGGTCTGCACTATTTGCTATTCAGCCAGTACTTACTATTATTTTGAAATTTTCTTTTTAAATATGAAGTTCAAGAGAGGTGTCTTGTCATATAAAAATATAGACAGTGATTAAAATACTAAAACTTTGGTTAAGTAACAGATTAATTTGAGCTAGTGCTAGGCATTTACTGGCCTCAATAATTTTACTTACTGAATAGCTACCAGTGCAGACCATCATGAGATGGCACAGATGTGCTGGCTGATCTTGGTCTGCACTGGTCACATGGTGGTAAAACACCAGCAGGTTAGATTTTAAGTTTGATTTGTTGTTTTTAACTTTGGTTAACTTAAATTGAAGTGTGAAGCTTTTTTAAGTTTTAAATCTTGCATTAAACTAAATACCAGTTTCATTGAAATTACATTTTTTGTCTGGTCTGCAAATAATTTTTGGATGTCTGATTATTTTACACGGCTGATTTAGTTGAAAAAAGCAAGTGTACTATACACATTAGGGAGGGGCTTCCGTGGCCGAGTGGTTAAAGTCGTTGACTTCAAACCACTTGCCCCTCACCGCTGTGGGTTCGAATCCTTACAGGGACTTTGGATTCTTTCATGTGAGGAAGCTATCCAGCTACCTTACGGAACGTCGGTGGTTCTACTCAGGTTCCATTCATGCCGGAAATAATATACGGAAGGGCACCTGAGGTCTTCCTCCACCAGTAAAGCTGGAACGTCGCTATATGACCTATAATGTGTCGGTGCGACATAAAACACAATTAAACAAACAAACAAATACATATTAAGGAGGGTAATGGTCTACTACCCTGATTTCTGTTCAGTCTTGTCATATTGTGAGATAGGAACAACTAACAGTAATTTATGACGGTGTTATATATAGTGTAGCTGTTTTATTTTGCATTTACTAACCTCACATTATCTGCCTTTTATTCTTGTTTTAACCATAACCTCTAAGTCCAATCGTTCCAATTTTTCCCCATATTTTATACATGTTTGCTGTATTGTAGCATTTACAATATTTGTATGTGTCTTGTTGTAAATGATATTGAAATGTTATTAAGGTAGAATATAAAAAAAACATATTTGATTTGATTGTACCTAACTATTGGTTGATTTTTATCGTTAAAAAATCTATATAATTGACTTTGATAAAAAACACAAGTTGTTTTCTTTGCTACCATTTTACAATGAGAATCGTTAAAAATACTATAGAATTGACTTTGATTTAAAAAAACAAAAAAAACAACACAAGTTGATTTTTTTGTTACCATTTTAGAATGAGAATGATGGGCAGATATAGAATTTGTGTAAAAGATGTATTTATCCATTGCATGTACACCTTTTGACAATGCTGTGGAACAGTTTTCTCTTTTCTGTTTTTTCGGATCTGAATTTTCTAAAGCTGCTTTGGGTTATGCTTCTTCTCTAACAGTTTTTTGCCCTATTACAAGTTTTGGTATTCTTTGTATTAAATTTTGTAACAATTTGTATTATGTAAAAACAGGCTTTCATTCATATAATCTACCGATATTTATAAGTTATACAATGTACAATGTCATGTTTTCTTGTTTAAAGTGTATATATATTTCCAAACTTTAACCAGCCTGCTTTTTCTTAATTATGTAACAGTTAATTTGTTTTTTTTACAGCTTAACTTGCTTTTCTCAAGTTTGTTTTTAACAAAATTTTCATTCTGCTGGTGTTTTTAAAAAAAATGAAATCAATGTTTACAATGGATAAATAGATCTTTTAAATGCATAGCATAAACTGATTGTCTTTGTTTATATGTTACGACAAGGGATCTTTAAACAACATTGTTATCATACTTTATCACATACCTGTGCCGTTTTCTTTATAACATACCCGTGTTGATTTCTTTATCACATACCCGTGCCGATTTTTATCACACACCCGTGCTGACTTTGCGACTCTGTAAAATCGGTATTGCATGGCTGTGCATATATTTTGATGTGACATCATTTGCGTTACACAAACATAGTGTAAAGACATGCAAAATGTTAGCTTTAATGAAAAAGTTGTTCAGTTTTACTGTAAACAGTTCTTAATTTGATTATGTGATAAATAGAATATTATATTTGTGAAGGCTATATATTTTTATCTTTCTAGGAACTCTTGAAAATGTACACATTCTTCTTAGAAAATGCGAACTTTAAGTCTTGAAAATCAAAGACTTTAAACAATGATTTGAAAATGGTGGGAATGATAAACTTTGTTGTATAAAGACCTTGAAATCTTGTTGACCAGCATTCTTAAGTCAGGAATTCAAACGGATTAATTCTAGTAGACTCCTTTACATTCGAAGTTTGTAGATTTTAGTTTGATACCGACTTTCGACTTTATCTATTTAGATTGATCAGCAAGTCAAACTCTGTAATAATGTTCTATTTAAAGATGCTGATTTTAAAGCAAGTTAAAGTAATAACCTAAGTCTTTCAGTATTTTACTTTTGGACTGACAACACCATAAAGACATAGAAAAAAATCAGAATCAAAACGAGTGAAATTTTTTGTTAATGTTTCATTGAATTTTTACGACCTTAAAAATGTTGGTTAATGTAAGATATTGTAGAAATTTTATATCTAATACTATTACCTTACCATGTTATCAGAACGTCTCTACTAAAACTACCCCGTACTCGGGAGGTATCTCGCCCACCAATAATCCGGTTCAATTTGAAGCGGTTGACCTGTATGTACCGGAACAGTGCTGGAGAGAAAACGATTTTGATAATGACCTGGTTGGTATTTTAACGATTCTATGTTGTGATAATTTTTCTATATTTATACATTTTTTTCCTGGCTCGTCAGAACCGAAGGTTCATGGCGAGCTTTTTAATGATCCATGGATGCTCTGACAGTTAACAGTTGTTTTTTTTATGTCACTGCTAAAATATTTCTATAAAAAATATTCATAATGGTAATTCAATAATATTTCTGCCCAACGACCTGTTTCAAATTTACACTATCCAGGCAGAGTGACAACATTTTGCTATCTTTGACATAACTAAAAGCATGTTAAGTCTGGAATTTCATAGAATATTTTATTGCATTTTGATTAAGATCAAACAGAAAATTCATGAGAATAATGTTTGTAAATTCTATAATAAAGCGGATATTTCATGGGCAATTTTTTTTTCAAAAACGTTTGCCCCTCACCGCTTTGGGTGTAAATCCTGACAAGAACTTTAGAACTAGTTCTTCTCAGATGACCATTTAGGCCTTATATAATGCATGGAAGGGCACCTGAAGTCTTCCTCAACCAGTAAAGGTTGGAAAGTTTTCCATACAACCTTTACATTTTCAGTATAACTTAAAAACCATCGAACAATTGCAAAAATACCTTTTAATTAGGTGAGCGACTTAGGCCATTCATGGCCGTCCTGTTTATTTACAATAGATTCCACAAAATTATTGTTGCTTTTTTCCCCTTCAGTTTAGCTTCCCTTGGTAAATTTTGCATTATTTGGTTAGCTAAAACAGTTTTTTTTTCATCATATTGAATTGAGATTTGTTTCCTTAATTATTTAACACTTTACCTGCTGAATTTCTTAAACAAATTTGTTCATCATCCAGTTTTGGAACTGTCCATTAACTATTTAAGGGAAAATACTATAAAATTGGTGAAAAGTTGGTCAGCCAACAGTATAGAGCCCTAGTCTAAGACTGCACTGATGACTGCAGGCTGGCCTGGCTCTATACTGGTGGCAAAGGCTGATTACTTTGGTGCCAGCAGGTTAAGGGTTAAAAAGAGAACCAAACCTTTCTGTTGTAGCTGCTAGAAATATTTAGTTTTGAATAAAAATGGGAAAACATTATCTCTTCACGTTTTAACAGCTTGTAAACAGTGAAATTTTCTTCACATATTGCAACATAGTAATTATTAGCTCACCTTTTCATTATCATCCTTTGTTGAAATACTCAAGTTCATTCTTTGCACAAAAAGACAGAAAAACAAATTAATTTGCATGTATTGTACAATGTAAGCAATTATAATCTAGAAATTTCTTTTTATGTCCATAAAAACTTCTAATAACTTTTATAGCTGTGTAAATTATTGATGTGTAATGAATATTGATTTTGTATGTATTTGAAAAAAAATATTACACAGAAAATATGTATCTACATAATACATGTATATGCGCATTACAGAAAAGTTTGTGTTTGTAATTATCTGTGTAAAAGATTATATGCAATCGATATTGATTTTATATGTAGTTGAAAGGTGGTGATCAGACAGTATGTATTTTACACATGCAGTACACGTTTGCCGTATATGTCAAATTATTTGTGTATTGTGCATTATTTAACTGCATGTAGTGCATATTGCAAAAAAACGTACATTTCACACAGTTTTGTGTCAATTAAATTTGCTTTTGTTACTTGTTTGAAAGGGTTTTGACTATATTTATTAAATATCATATGAAAAGGGCTTATATATTCTTTATATTCAATATTATATATACATATATATATTTCATTTAAATATTCGAAGCTTTTGATCTTTCCTTTCTTTAATCAAATTTCAGCCACTGTAGAGCTAAGCTTTATTTGCCTCATGCATTTTTAACAATTATTGAAAATCATTTTAGCTAAGAAAGACTCTTAAGGAAATTTGGTCAGCTTTGCTAGGTCGTAAAGAAATTTGGTTGTACAACAAAAAATTTAATTTTGGTCCTTATGAAAACAAAAAAAATATTTTTGGACATAATGAAAACAAAACTCTTATTTTTTGGCTCTTCCAATTATTGAGAAATAGGAATGAATAAATAGAATTCTGATAAGATTATGCTGCCATTAGTCATTACATCCTTTGCTGCAGTTTAATCTGTCACACTGTCAAGGTATTTGATATCTAATTTAAGTCTCAGTTAAGTTTAAATTATTACAATAACTGTTGTTTCTACCACAGGCGCTTGTCACATAATCAAATATTTTACATAATTGGTCTATATATGTATATAAAGATATCTTTATATACATATATAGACCAATTATGTAAAATATTTGATTATGTGACAAGCGCCTGTGGTTTCTACTGTGCATAATTTCTACCCTCTGTTTTAGATGTTGTAAGTCTGTCCATAACGTATTCAGGTACTAACCCTCCGTAAATTCTTGTGGGGCATTTATTAGAAGTAATGGGTTGTTATTTAGAACTGATATGGTATTTTAAAATAAATGTTGGATGAATTTGATTACAATTTGATTGTGATTAACATTTACTTTAGGCGAGTGACTGTGATATAATTATATGAAATTATATATAATATTATACATACATGGCATTGTAACCTACACAAATAATATAGTATATACTTTATGCAAGTTCACACCAAACTTGGATCAAAATAGTTCATAAAGACTATATGCATGTATAAAACTATATAATTATATATAACATTGCTTTAAAATTCAGTTATATCTCCTTAATTGTAAGAGTAAGGTTTATGTCTAAGGTAAGTTTTAAACAAACTTATTTTAATTTGTTATCTAAAACACAAAATTTTCTATAGAAACTATTAATTAAAGCTTAGGTTATGTATTTACGATGGTTATTGTTTCAGTAATTGTTTGAAGTGATATTTAATACATTGTGTTTGGAGTGATGTGACATTCATGTTGCTCTGGTCTTGAGGGATTTGTAATCTTTGCATTTTAACATTCAGCCTGCTTATAATGTTCTCGTACTGGTGCCCGGCTTGGAATTGTCTTGGTTAATTTGTGGGATTTAAAATATCAGATCCACTTGTCTAAAAATCAATAACCTAATACCAAGGCAGAGGGGCTAATGTCGTTGACTTGTAACCACTTGCCCCTCACCGCTGTGGGTTCAAATCTAGCCAGGGACTTGGGATTCTTTCATGTGAGGAAGCTAACCAGCTAGCTTGCAGAATGATCAATGGTTATACTCAGATGCTCAATGATGCCATGAAGTAACGCACAAAGAAATACCTGAGGTCTTCCTCTACCAAGAAATTAAAGTCGCCATATTGTTGGTCAGACTGTACGAATGATCAGGACACAAATGTAGGGTAGGGCTGGGGGAGTCAGGGTAGGTCCGGGGGAGGGGTGTCTTGCTCTTTCCTTCTGCTTGATGGTGTAAGCTGTTCAATAGCAATGCATTGTGCTTATAAAATAGCATAAGGTACAGAATTTTTTTTCTTTTAAGTAATATTTTCTGTGAATCACAATTTATGATAATTATTTTATTTTGAATAAGTCATGTTGATATATCATCCTTGTTTTGGAAGCTTTAAAAAGTTGTACAAATGTTGGTGTGTTTTTTTCTTTTGTGAAGAAACTTAGTTCTTTTGTATCAAATAAAAAGTTATAAGGACATAATTTTTTTGTCATTTAAAAACAGAACATTAATATTTTTACAATGTATGTCAGTCTGTTTTGTTGTACCCTTGGTTTGTATATCACCTATATGATTCTGTAATTATATTGTGATTGACAGAACTTGACACCCTGTCAGGTCTAGAAATTATCAGTGAATTTATTATTTAAAAATTTATTAGTAGAAAAATTCATTATTAAGAAATTTATTCATAGAAAAAAAATGAATTAGCAATAACTGACTGTTGGCAGAGCTTCATTATGATATTATTATAGCGTCACCCTGAGTGAATGAGTGCAGTAACAGGTTATAAATTCCTTATGTAATTTAATAGGAGTAAATTGTTACAGCACTATCAAGTAACAATACCTTAGGCATAAAACTGCACATTTTTTTGTGTGCAACACCCGAGGTAAGCCAAAATTACCTTTCCTGTTTTGGCGCCATATGACCTAAATTGTGTTAGTGCACTGTAAAACCAATCCTATTCCCCCCAAAAACAACAAAAAACCCATTAAAACTACATTTTCTCACATGTGACAATTTGGCACCCAAAAAAGGATCCTTTTGAATATTTTTGTGAACTTAAATGACAATAACTCTTGCATTGAAGCATATAGGTTATTCTTTTGTGGGTTTAATTATAGAAAAAGTAGGGAAGAAGCATTTTATTTTTGTTTTTGTTGTTTAGTTATAATGACTATCCTTGCTTAAAGCATGACTTAATTATTTATAATAATTTTTTTATCACAAATTTATTTTTCTATGATCTTGTATTAAGCACCATTGTTATTAAAAGTTTTCTAAAGCAGAAAACTTGCCAAAATTCAATATTCAGTCTGAAATGAAATGCAAAACAAAAGAAAACAAACAAAAAACGTAATTTAAAAATATTGACCAGATATTTGAACATATATTTTGTTGTTTCTAGGGAGATGGAAATTTTGCCAGGAGTTACAGCTTGACGAGCGATAAAAGACGGAATAATAAAGGTACATATTATAACACAAAATCATCAAAATGTTTAAGTATCTAAATAAGATTAAACAATGATATGGGGGCATAATTAATGGTTTGTAAAATAATTCTAACCTACAAAGTAACCAGTTCATATTCATTTTTATGAAGAATAATTATAATAACTGATAGAGGATTAATTTTAAGAGGAAATACAGTAATCATTTTATCACTAAAAAGATTTCTTTGTGTATTTTTTTTTCCAGATTTTAAAAGCAGGTCATTAATGGAACTGCCTGGTGAAAGATCTTTTACACTTCCAAGTCGAGGTCGCAGTAGACAACGACCTTCATTAGATGACAGTGCACTTGGACAGTCGCACACAAGTTCACGAAGTTCGAGAAGTTCACGTAGTTCTGTTACATCACATGATGGATATTTAGAGAACATGTTCAGAAAGGAATGTGAAGTAGACGATAGAATGAACGATATATATAATGACAATATACAAGAAGAATCGGAAGACGAATACGATCAGTCTCGTAGACGTTCCGCACAAGTTTTTGACGAGTCACTCGGAAGTGATAGCCAGTCCGAACTTTCTGAATCAGATTCTGATAACGAGCAAATCACTTTACCGAAGGTAAAATTGAAAAACAGTGTTAGTGCTCCGATTGAAGGAAGTGTTAGTGAGAACAACGAATTACTGAAAATGAACGGTGAAGAGACGGACGAATCTAAAGGAATTCACGCTGCCGTTAGTCAATGTCATAGTTTAGACAGTGAAACAGGTAACAGAAATAGACATTCAAGTGAAGTGTTTGACGGTACGGTTAGTCCTAGTGAATATACATCAGAACTGGATCGTGTAATAGCTCGAGAACAAAGTAGAAATAAATCCAATACCTTAAATTCGCAAGGTACAAGTGACGGACACACATCCTCGCATACGTCTTCCAGCAGTATAGGTTATCAGGGGAAATCTGCTGCTGAGAGGGCCTTTGATCGGGGGTCCACAGACTCTGTGTCAGCTGGGTCACGAAAAAAGATTTCCCCCCATGGAGAATTTAGTTTCACGTCACAAACTTCAAATGAAGAAACAAAGCCACAACGAAAAAAATCCAAGCAATATGTCAAAGGTAGGTATAGCTTAGTTAATATCATATTTATCATGTATTTTCATTTACTTACCATCTACCTTATTACTGTTAAAGATAGCTTAACCGTTGAAGCAAATACGGATGAGTCACAATTTTTAAAAATCTATACAATCCACTACAACTATGTCGCTTTCTTCAATGTAAGGTTTTCAAGGCCTGAAATTCTTCGAAAAAGGAAAGTACGCTGTGTTATAGGAGAGAACAACAATGATGTTGGACATCGGGACAATAAGATGACTCAACAGAAAATCATCAAACATCCCACTCGACACTTTATAATGTATTTTATGAGATTTATAAGAAAGATAGCTAAACAATGACAAACTGAAGCTGCTATACATAACACCCAACTATAATTTGTCTGTAAGTCACAGCACAGAATTCCTCATAAGAGAAATACCATTATTAGAAAAAGATTTGTTACAGAAAGAATTCATGTTTTTCTTTACGATGCAGGAGGGAGGCGATTCACTGTGCAAGGCCTTGAAGGATTACCGTCCCACCGATCGGCACCGGACATCCGAGACCAGCGTCAGCAATTAACCAGGGAGGAGTCAATACCGGGTGATCTGATGGCTGTATATAGAAATATGAATAGAGAGGTATGGGTGAATGATTTTACAACATGTTTATAGTTTAAATAATTTTAATATTTGTTTATAAAAGATACATGGTTGCATTATTATGTAAAACAGTTCTTGTACATAATTATTATCAAACGTAATATTATTCGCTGACATAGTTTTTATATAAAGCACAGAAACAATAGACCTTTCCCAGTGCTATTTTTAGCACAACAGATTTATTGAAGAAGGGTAATGTGATTGTTGAAGAACAAATATTTACCTTAGATGTATTGTAGGCTGATAATTTGAAGCTTGGATTTGTAATTGTTTCATGTGAAAGATATCCAGTGAGCTTACAAGTTACATACTTGTATAATCCAGTTACATGCTTGTAAATCAGAGGTTCTACATACTTTTGATAGTCCATGACTTAGCCCAGTTACAAACTTGTGTTAGTCAATGATTTAACCCAGTTATATGCTTGTGTTAGTCAGTTATTCTATTGAGTTACATGCTTATGTTAATCAATATTTTACCCAATTACATGCTTGTGTTACAAGTTATATGCTTGTGTTAGTCCATGTAGTCGATGAGTTAACCAAGTTATATGCTTGTGTTAGTCAATGATTTAACCAAGTTATATGCTTGTGTTAGTCAATGATTCAACCAAGTTATATGCTTGCATGTGTGAAAGTTTTCAGGATTATTCCTGAAGTTCAGGATTTTCAGGCTCCTGACAGCCTTCTATTTCCTAAGTAAAACTATAGAAAAACTGCTAAATTCAGGATTTTTTTAAATTTCCAACTTTCACCCATGTGCTTGTGTTAGTCAATGATGCAACCAAGTTATATGCTTGTGTTAGTCAATGATTCAACCAAGTTATATGCTTGTGTTAGTCAATGATTCAACCAAGTTATATGCTTGTGTATGTCAATGATTCAACCAAGTTATATATTGTGTTAGTCAGTGATTCAACCAGGTTATATGCTTGTGTTAGTCAATGATTCTACACAGTTACATTTTCTGTTTATCATATATTTTCTCTGTTAAGACATTACAATTTTTGAAGACTTCTCCTTTACTTTTGTGTATTAAGAAAGTAGTCCGGCAGACACCAATGAAAAATGGAAATTAAGTTTGACTGCTGTAAAAATGAAAATATGGAAAAAGAAAATACACATTTTATTTCATCAATATATCATCTATAAGTAGTATAATAAATAGTTTTATCTAAATTTTTATTTCAGGAGTTAATAAAGCTGGTAGTCACCCATAAAGCACAGTTGATAAGAAAGGACCAGTACATAAAGGAGCTTGAAAGTTACATAGACAACCTTCTAGTCAGAGTTATGGAAAGCTCACCACGCATTCTTCAGAGTTTATGAGTCTTCTCAAGCATAATACATGGAATACAGTGAAACCTGTGACCTTTGTAACTGCTTAGTTTACAGAGTTCATGAATTCTCTACAATTCCACCATGGAAGTTTATGAGTCCTCTACATTTATTACAATGTTTATAATGCACTCTTCATAATTTAACGTAGTTCATAAACTCTAGATGTATTAAAGAATTTATGAACTCTACATAATTAGGTAATTCAGTTCATGAACTCTCTGAATGTATTATTGTTAATAACCTCTCTTTTTTGTAAGAGAGTTTTATGAACTCTTTAAAATTTATGAGCTCTTTAAACTTTATAAAAGAAGGTGGATAAGTAATTATGTTCATAAACTCTGTGAATGCATTATACTTTATATGCTCTGTTTATATGTAAAAGATTTTTATGAACTCTTTAAGATTTATGAAAAAAGTGTATGAGAAATTAAGTTCATGAACTCTCTGAATGCATTATAGTTTATAAGCTCTCTTTATTTTTAAAAGAGTTTTATAAACTCTCTGGAGCTCTCTGTATATTGAAACATTTTTCTTTCTCTTAAGATTTATAAAAAAGTTTATGACCTTTCTTAATACGGAATTTGGTTAGTGAACTTTTTAGAGCTGACTTTATGAACTTTTTCCATGTGTTCCCAGGGAAAAAGAAAACATGTATGTAAGAATTTTAATGTTGATTTATTATACTGTAATAAAAAAAACTTATGCATTTAATATTCTATAGTGCCTTTGAATATTTGAATCTGGCTGCTTATTTTTTTTTTGGTATCTTGTTTTTTATACAGTATTTTATTGTCTACAATAATGCATCATTCCATTTAACAATGTTATGATTGGTTGAAAACTTTAAGGGTTGTATATTATTAGTTCTACACATTTTACCTGGTTATATGGCAAGCAATTATATGATGCAAGCAATTAATTATGACCTGAGTTGCAAGATGAGGGTAACAAGCATCTTGTCACCTTAGTGCAGTAATGGGTTAAGTCCTTTTTAATTTAATAGGAGTTAACCAGTTATTGCACTAAGGTGACAATCTGTTTATAAACACCTTTATAACCTGTCAAAGGTCTTTATGATAAATTTTTCATACTGCACAAAATTGTGTTGTGAGAAACACTTTAGATCTTCTTTCACCAGTAAGACTAAAAAGTTCCCATCCATGTCCACACCCCACCCACACTGCCTACAAAATTCAATATTTTTTATTTAAACTATCATTCCTTGATATATTATTGATGTATTTACTAAAAATATGACAAGTTTTGATAAAAGTAGATTGAGAAGATGTATAAAAAGTGGGGTTTTAAAAATGATAATACTCGACTACTAAATGCCCTGAATTGTTGATTATTGCTGATTAAGAGCCGATTATTGCCCAGAGGACTTTCTAAACAATGTAAGTGCAATGTTTAGTTAATGTTTTGTCTGTTTATAGTTAGGGTTGGTAACAACATTATTTAAGGTGTATGACTGTGGATGTGTGTAGGTTTGATCTTAATCACCTTAGTGCAGTAATGGGTTAAGTACTTCTAGATTGAATAGGAATTAACCAGTTATTGCAGTAAGGGATACAATATATGAATTTTAACTTATTTTAGTGACAACAATGACTTTTATAAAGTCATATCTGAGCCCTTGTACCTATAATGGACTGTTCCAATCTTATAGTAGACAGATCTATTAGTTACTTTAAGCAGGGTGAGGGTTAAACCATAATCTGATTAATTTCATAATGGACTTGTCCAGCTTCCATTTGTTGTAGAACAGTCCATTACCATTTTTTAGGGATGTAGAGATAAAAATTTAAAGTTAGCTAACGGTATAGAGCCTGGTCAGACTACATGGAAGTGCAGGCTGGCCTGGTTTGATACTGCTTACAAAGGGCTATCACTCAAGTTTCCATAAGGTTAGGGTTATTAAAGTTTTATTATATCAAAATTAATGTATTCAAATTACCTCTGAAAATATAAAATTTGTTACAACTTCTATGTTTTTTTCCATATAATTTTATGTATTAGTACTTTAGATTGATTATTTTGTTATTATGTTTAAAAAATAGAGAGATTGTATGACTTATAATTAGTTATTCTATTTTTATACTGTTATAGTTTTATTTTGATGTATTTATTTTTTAAGAGATCTGTTTCAATAAGCATTTATTGATTTTGAACAGCTGTTTTGGTGTTTATAATTGTTAAGCTACCACATTGACATAGACAGATTTGAGGCAAGTGTTTTTGTCATATCTGATTGGCTGTTTCTTCTGTCCATTTTTCTTAAGTAAACTTGTAACCCTAGAATTGATATGCTATATAAACTCCATACTTGACCTCAGCTTGTCTTTGAATGAGATCTGTCTTATTATATTTATATCAATTCTTGACCTTTAATTGACCTTAACCTTTAGGGTCAATTTTAATTTTCAGAATGCATAAAATTTCACCATAACTTCATTTTTTGTTACATTTTGAATGTTGACAATTGCATAGTCTGTTTTATTTTTTTCATAGCAAAGTGCTGGCATTTTCTAGATATATACATCATATTATTATTTCTTTGTTTTGTCTGTTATGTATGTATGTAATAAGAAAATTTACAGCATTGAATTCAAAATGTTTTTTTTTTATAGTTTAACATCCCATGATTATTGCTAATCCATAGACACTTATACTTCTTATTATTAAGAATTTCTTGTAAAAAGTTCAACCTGTCTTAAAGAATTACCTCTGAATGTAGACCACATCACAATTATAATACATAACCTGCCATTTAAGACCATTATTTTCTTTTGCTTGTTTGAACATGTTACAAAAATCTTACACTGGCTGAGAGTCTGTGCCCCAAATTTTCGGTGTGGGCAATTTAACGACAGCAAGATTTTCCTAATTCAATTGTGATGGTTTTTCCATTCCGTCTGACATATCAATTATAATGAAAAACTAAATTTAAATTTAGCAATGTTTTTCGTAAAGCAGCATTTGAATTAACAACTTCATAAATAATGGCAATGGAATGATGTCATTTAATGCACACAACTCATCTAATGGTAGAAAAACCAAGCAAGAAATAAATCAAAACTTTCCACACCCTTCGTTCCCCTTCCAAATTATTAGTACTTTAATTTTGTTAAATTCAAACAAGGTACAATTTTTTTTTTGCTTGTTATGTATAGCTATAGATCTGTAGATATTCATTGTTTATTTATCTAGATGAAACACTTAAGTTATGAACTATAAATTTCACAGAATTGGAAAAGCTACAGATTTCTGCTTATTGGCATATAGTGGTGTAATGCCTGCAAATATAGTTCTGTTTGGTAACAAGTTTCTCATTTTCTGTCTACTTTCTCAATGAATTATAGACCTGAAAAATTGCTATTCATATATTTATTGTCAAGTGTTCAACACCATGAAATTTTTTTTTTTTATCATGACAGGTGAAATTTTATCTTACAAAAAGTATTTGTTAGTTTTTGTTCATTTATGTATGAATCTCTTGATGTTACTGGCATAATTGTTATAGAAAAGTGGAGTAAGACAGGTGAACTTTCTTTAACCATAGGGCAATAGGGGGGCAATAGATTATAACATTTAATTTTGGAAGCTATTTCATGACTATTTATATATGTTTTTATTTGACATAATTTATGAGTTAAGTGCTCATATTCTTTCTGGCATTTTCTTGCATAACAGACAGGTTTATCTTCTGTTTACAACGGAGCTAGAAAACCCTGTCTTACATCTTCCTCCCCTGGTAAGACAAGTTGCGTACGTTTTTAAAATAAGATGATTTTTCCATTGTGAATTAAGTTGTCTATGAGAAGGAAATGCTCAATGAAAACTAATGTTTTCATGAATTTTTTTCCACCCAAATTATAATTAATATGTATTAAAAAAGGAATCAAAAACTTGGAGTCATCACAGACAAGAATATCTAACTCTCAGGTAAGTTAAGGTAACTGTTAGGCGGAAACCAGGCAGACCCTTGTTTTCCCCATAAACAGTTGCCCTCGAGTGACATATTCCAGTCTGTACAGGTAGCTAGTAAAAGATCATTATTATGAATCTGCACTATTGTAAGAAAAAATATAAGTTTTTCGTAATTTCTTTTCAAAATGTATATTTCATACATCATATGCAAGAAAAAGAATTTAACCCTGGCTATTATCACAGATGGGAACATCCTGCTCTCAGATAACTGTTGAGCAGACCTCATAAGCAGACTTTCATTACCACCGCAAAGGGTTGCCCTCAAACTAGATATTCCAGTCTAATGTAAAATCACTATTATGAATAACCATATCTATAGATGTAAATCTACAATTTGTAAGATACCTAGACATTTTACAACATATCTTGAAATTATATAATTTATTAAAATGTTTTTGATAAATGTATCTGTTAAATGTTGCCACTGTGATGGAGACTTTTTTTTTCTAAAACTGTTATAATTGGTTGTTATCATAGGTCTTGTTGCTACGGTAATTGTAATTAGTCCCCTACCGGTTAACCGGAGGGGACTTTAGGTTTACCCTCCATCCGTCTGTCAGTCCACAAAACTGGATCCCGCGATAACTTGAAAAGTACTGAAAATATTTTTATGAAACTTGGTATATGGATAGATGGCAGTATGGAGATTATGCACGTCGTTTTCTTTCCTTCCTATGTTGAAAATTCTGGTTGCTATGGCAACACATAGACTGAAAATATGGCAAATTTTACACATAAACTGAATCCAGTGATAACTCAAAAAGTACTGGAAATATTTTTATGAAACTTGACATATGGGTAGATGGCAGTCTTATCTGTTCTTCCTATTTTGAAAAAATATCAGTTGCCTTGGCAACAAATAGGCTTAAAACATGGCAAATATAACAATATTTGTGATTAGTCAAAAACAGCTGAAATTTTTTATGAATTCAAGAGTTATCTCCTGTTTAAGAATTTTGCTTTTAAAATGTTATATTTTGGTAACAGGGATGTTTCAAATATTAACTTTAGAGTGTCCTTCAGTCCCGTCTGTCTGTCTGTTCATAAAAACTGTTTCCTGTGATCACTTTTAAAGAACTTTTCCAACAAATTTACTTAAAATAGAGAAAAATTGAAACATTAGTGAATGGCCCTTCAGAATGTTGATGGGGTTCTAACCGGTAGGGGACTTATGGATTGCTTGCAATACTATGATAATTGCTTGTTTAGATTGATTTATACATAATAAAATTAAGTAGCAGTTAAATATAAAATTTTATTTAACTGTTGCTTAAATCATTACTTAAGACAGAGATTATAATAAATATTGGTTTTTATTGCTAAGGACAAATTTTATTCTGACAATTTAAAAATAGTTGCTATAGTAACTATTTAAATTATATTGTGATTATGATAAGAGAAAGGTTGTTTTTTTCCAAAATCAAATTGTTGCTATGATACATGTTAAAATTTTATTGTTTCCATGGTAAACTGTTGCTACATGTAAGGGTCAAGTTAAAATTGTGTGTTGTTACTATAGCATATTGCTATAGTAACAGTTAATGTTAATTATATAATTAACGGTTGATAAGGAGTTTTTGTGATAACTGTTTATGTTGTATTGTTGCCTTAGCAACATGTTCTTAATGATTTTAAATAAATTATGAGGTCATAGAATTAGTTGTTATAGAAACAGTTATCTTTATGGCATTGCTATGGTAGTTTGTTACTATAGAAACCTATTGTTACATATCATCTATATTGTGAATAGTTTAAACCATTCCATAAAATCTTGACTTGTTGAAATTATCTGACTGTTCTTTTTGTTTGTTTTCATATAGAGGAATATTTTATATTTTTACTTGTATTAATATATTTTGTAAATCAGTTGTGAATAAAATAAATGATATGAAAACATAAATATACTAGTTCTTTTAATAATTATGACCCCAGGCATATAGTAATTGAACCATCTGTCCGTCCGTCAATCCGTACAGCCCTGGATGTACTTGTGTGACTTGGATAACAATAAGTTAACAGTAAATTCTCTTTGATCCTACTCATTCTGTTTCTAATTGTGTGTCTTTTTTTAAGTCTTGTGTGACTAAAAATGGCTAAAAAGATAAAAGGAAAAGTCACATAAGTACTATGTCATAAGTATGTCTGTCTGTGCGTCCGTCCTGATTTGTCTAGTTTATATCTTGCTTATTCTTTGAAGGATTACAAAATAATTTGGTGCAAATGTTCAGCATGATTGGGTTGTGTGTCACATGCAAGACCCAGGTCCCCCCTCAAAGGTCATGGTCACACTTGGGGGTCAGCAGAAAACCTGTGTCCGGAGCGTAACTTTTACATGCATGGAACTTAGGTCTTATTTCTCCAAAGGAAGGCGGAGTGTCGTGCAAAAAATTCAGGTGTCTGTGGCAGAGGTCAAGGTCACACTTAGGGGTCAAAGGTCAATTAATAAAATAAAACATTCATTTGAGAGTAAAACTTCTATATACATAGATGAATTTATATATAACTTATCACAAATGTTTTCCAAGATATTAGCCTATTTATTAAACAAAAATGTTAAAAGAAGCCACTTCAGCCATTGAATTGTTGGCCACAAAATGTAAAGGAACTGCTCATAATTATAATGAACATTCCGAATAATGCAGCACTACAAAAGTTGGAGAAACTCAGACATGAAAACAAACTTTTGAAAGGAAAACTAGATCATGCCCAAAAAAATAAATCAATGGCATTGAACAAAAATGGATCACTTCAATTTAAGGTTGTTCAAGATAGAAAATGAAATTCTAAAGATTAAAGGTATAATCAGATTTTTTAATTATATTTTATCTGTACAAATGTAACTATGCAAGAAAAAAAAATGAATGGGGATAATTTATCGAATCTTTTCTGGCTAGTTGCTATATGTGAATATATAAATCAGCGAAAATGTATGGCAACTTTATAATACAAACAATAATTAATATATTACATATAAATTTTGGACCATATCAGTCAAGGCCTGTACGAAAATTCTGAGCCAATTCTGTACAGACTCTGTACCAACTCTGGTTGTTATAGAGGCAGATTTTCATTTTTCTGTACAGAGTTGACACCGACACAGAATTGGACACAGAATTGGCCTAGGAAATAGGTGATTTTCTGTGCAGAATAAAACAGAATCAAAAATTTTTCTGTACAGAAAAATTTTTACACAGATATTTTGCTCTTAGATATTTTTACAAGACAGAATTTCAATACTTAGAAAAAAATTGAGGCAGAATTGACATTGACACACAGAATTTTAAACACTTAGATAAATCTTGAGACAGAATTTACTTTTCTAGCCAGAATTTCACTAATGAGTTAATCTCAGAGTAGTAGATATTCTGTATTATCAGGTGTAACCCCCATGTAACCCCTGTTGGTCAATTCAAATTTCAGGCTGCCACGTGAGGTTTTATTACACAAAGTGTCTTCATATTGGCAGAGATTTTTGTTTTGTTTAG